CCCCAAAACCCCAAAACCCCAAAACCCCGTATGATACTATATTTTCAGTAAAAATGAATTAATGAATATAGAAAACACTTTCATTTATTATATTTTCTTGCATAGTACTGACTAAATTGTTCGATCATAGTGTTCCAGCATCCATCATCTACAAAGTTACCGAAATCTCCTCTGGTGGACTCAACTAACTCAAGGAACATTACCCAGTTATCTTTCTGCATTACGAGTTGATCCTTTTTCTCAGTTTGTAGAAATTCTATGAAGTCATTCAAAAATAGGCATTTGTTGCTGAGCAAAATTTACCAAAGAGCGAAAGCAGTCTCAATTGCAATATTCTTATATCCTTGATCCCTGGAGAACTCAAAAACATACTTGTAGAGGTCCTTGAATTTTGTCTTGTCATTAAGCTCTTAATTAAGAGCTGGCAGCTTCTTTCTTAAGTCATCAATCGAACTGACGCCTAACTTCATCATACCTGTTTGAAATTCTTCAAGAGTGTAAAAGCCCATAGTCTTGGCATCCATATAATAACTAATGAGGAAAACTACTGGGTCAGATGCAACGTTAACACCTAAATGCTCAAAGAACAATGTGATCCCATCTCCCTCCATTTTGCCAGATCCTGCCTCCTTGTATTTACTGAATAAACTTTCAATTATCTTCGGATTTCCTTTGCCTACTGAGGCTTTCTCGCCGTATCCCTTCACAAAATATTCTTCTGCTGCAGAATTCACATCCCTAAACGATCTTTAAATACTATTTATACCAATTATTCTTTTTTAGTAAGTCAGTAAGTAACTTATCATTTTTGGTGTTGTTGACAAAGCCCTAGAATTCTTGCAACTTCTTCTTCTAAGCCATACTCAAAGCTTGCTGCAATAAGATATCAAAATTGAAGAAAATTTACCATGATTATTGATTCAATTTTTATTATCTAATCTGACTAAATTTTCCAGATAGGCCCAAACGGGGTTTTGGGGTTTTGGGGTTTTGGGGTTTTGGGG